TAGCGAAGGGTGATAAGAAACGTCAGAGAGAAGTTCAGGCTGAATCAAGTAGGCTAAAAACCGAGCTTCATCAAAGACAACAAAAAGAGATCCAAGAACTTAAAGCGAAGGAAAGCATTGAGGAAACAAATAATTTCGGTGAATCTACTTCAAAAGACAACGTTAAGTTTAAAAAAAAGCGTAGTTTTGGGTTGAATAACGATTGTTGTTACTGCGGCTGGTTCTAATTTAATTACCTACTTTCAGTGCAATGAGTCGAGTTTTGACGAGGAGGTAGATATCGTGGATCAACTGTATGCAAGGTTAGAGGCGACGCGTATTGAAGAGGAAGAAAACAAAAAACCCAATACACCCGCAATCAATGGAATAGCAAATAAACAAAGAAAACCAAATAGACATAAATTACGAAAGGTAGAAACCATTTAATTTAGTTATTTAACATTGAAATTCTGAACAAAAGTTTTTGGATTTAGGAACGCAAAGCGGCTGAGCTTGCCAAGGAACAGAATGAGGCCGCAGAAGAGGCTAAGAACCAAATTAATATGAACGAGGTTGAAAGCAATGCAATTACAGAATTAATTAAGCCCATGGGATTAGTTGTAGAGGAGGTGATGCAATAAGACATTTATCTTTGATATTAGAATACGTTGATGCACGTCTTTCATACATCATATATTGAAAAACCAATGATCATTTATTAGATACCAGCAAATGGTCATTGGTGAGCTCTTGGAATAGCAATAGCATCAATTTGCGCTTAACCAACATGCTGTGACCTTACTTTTTTTGTGTATTTGACAATTCAGTCTTTATAATGCCATATCGGATCAGCTGCGATTAAGGCATAATATTTTGGTACGAAGTATTTTATATATGAGTGCCGCAAAGCGAAAAATCGTAATTCTTCATTTTGGAAATTTCACTTTACAGGACACGAGCTTACCATCCCTGAAGGATTCAATCATGTGATTATATATGAGTGAAACCATTATTTCAATTAGTTCACATTCTTCAGGGTTTGATAAGCCCGTATCCTATAATATGAAATTTCCGAAACCAAGATTGAGGGTTTTCGTCAATTATTATTCTCCGTTTATGCAATTTTAGGTGGATTATCGAGAAATGAGACATGAAACTGCAATGTATATGCGACAACACCCTGATGATTTCCTACCGTTTTTATCTAACGCGAAAGATGGGGAAATGTATAGTTTGGGTAGAGATTGTGTTTGCATATAATTGGTTATCAATTAACATTTTTGTTAGATAAAATATCCATTCCTAACTGAATATAATTTCAGAACAATTTCAAAAATATTGTGATGAGTTGGAAAACACCGCGGTGTGGGGCGGAGAACTAGAGGTATGCTGATTGTTCTTATAACAATTGTTTTGTCGTTGAGATCTCTTAAATTATATATCTTCCAATGTAGATAATCGCAATCTCGAGAGTTTACAAGGTCCCTATACATATCGTACAAATGAACTCGCCAATTTTAAAAATGTCTGATGATATATTTCCTGACAAGGACCCAATCTTCTTATCGTATCCTTTTAATAACTTTAAATATTCAATAGAACAAACATTATAATTCAACTCCTTAACATTAAAAAAGATTTCATCTCCACATGTATGGATTGGGTTATCATTATAATTCACTCCGAACAGCATGATATATGGAATTTTTAACTATTCAATTCTTTATTATTTCTAAATTAATCATTACAAAAATCATATTCCGTTTTGCTATTTTTAGTAGCTGAAAATTTGAATAGTTGTTAATTATATTTCATTAAAGATAAATTAATAAAGATAAACATATGCATACCGATAATGTTCTGACTTAAATGGACCGTCTTGATTAATTCCCAAGTACTCGGATTGAATTGGAGTAAGTTTGGTAAGTTTTACGCCCAGCTTTTCAAGATGAGCTGCTGCAACCTCTTCATCAAGTTTCTTTGGTAACATGTGAACACCAAGCGGATAGGATGAAGTATCTGTCCAGAGAGCAATTTGGGCGAGTGCTTGATTTGTGAATGAATTACTCATTACAAAACTCGGATGCCCAGTAGCACAACCAAGATTAACCAATCTTCCATCAGCAAGAAGGATTATACGTCGACCATTTTTCATTGTAAAACGATCAACTTGAGGCTTAATATTCACATGAGCAATAGCATTTTGTTTGAGCCAAGCGACGTCAATTTCGACATCAAAATGCCCAATGCTTCAAAATTTCAAATGATTCACTGTTAGAAAAAGGCATATATTAAATTATAGATGTATATGGTTTTTTTAGGTGCTTACTTGCAAACAATTGAATCATCCTTCATTTGTTCAAAATGTCTACCTAAGATAATATCGCGGTTGCCAGTAGCTGTTACGAAAATATTTCCTTTCGAACATGCTTCTTCCATAGTTGTTACCTCGAAACCTGTTAAATTGCATATTAGTTTCTTGATTTTACAAACAAATATTACCTATAAATATAGTATAATAACTCTACCTTCCATAGCTGCTTGAAGAGCATTGATAGGATCAATTTCAGTTATGATAACGCGGGCTCCCATACCACGAAGGGCTGCAGAACAACCCTTACCGACATCTCCATAACCAGCAACAACGGCAACTTTGCCTGCAATTTGTACATCAGTTGCTCGTTTGATGCCGTCAATAAGAGACTCACGACACCCGTAGAGGTTGTCAAATTTCGATTTTGTAACGGAATCATTTACATTAATGGCAGGAACCTTTAAAGTTCCTTCCTTAAGCATTTTGTATAAATGATGCACACCGGTCGTAGTTTCTTCTGAAATGCCCTTTATACCTTGGTTATGATTGAATTAACATCAAAATCGGCATATTTATTATTTGCGACAATATATCAACATAAATTAATGATGAAAAGTACCATTCAAAAGTTCAGGATGCTTCTTATGAACTAACACTGTTAGATCACCACCATCATCAAGGATCATATTAAGAGGTTTACCATCTTTAAATGCATGCAAAGTTTGCTCAATGCACCAATTGTATTCTTCCTCAGTTTCGCCCTTCCACGCAAACACAGGTACTCCTGTTGCTGCAATAGCTGCCGCTGCTTGATCTTGCGTTGAAAAAATGTTGCAAGAACTCCAGGCAACTTCAGCACCAAGACAAGTGAGTGTTTCAATCAAAACTGCTGTTTGAATTGTCATATGAAGACAGCCTGCAATACGAGCACCGGTTAAAGGCTTGGTAGGACCATACTTCTGACGCAGTGTCATCAACCCGGGCATTTCATTTTCTGCAATTTCGATTTCTTTTCGGCCCCAGGCGGCAAGTGAAATATCACCTAGAAACAGAATATATCACAAAAAGAACTTCAAGCTAGCCTGAGCATTAATGCTCCGAGTAGTTTACAAAATAAACATACAAACTTTGTAATTGGGCATTTCTTAACGATTAATTATTATTCGTTAGACAGAAAAAAAAAAAAAATCTCGATCACTCTTTTTATGTTATTTTTGTGTGCACAAATAGTTATGCGGAACTAAATCTATTTTAAATTAAAAAGATGAAATATATACTATCGATTTTTTATTATCGTTATAGACCAACCCCAAATAAAATATTTATTACGTAAAACAAATATCTAATTACAAACATTGTGCAGGTTAGTACCCGATATAAGCCTTCGTTAGAATCTTGTAATTTTTTGGTGGCTTGCCTATTTTGCACTATACAAATTTTAATCCGCTGCATTTATTATAAGGAAACTTTTATCTATTATTGAACCTTGTAAGATATGACCCTGCAGACTACAACACAAGGAGATTCTGTAAAGAATTTTACCGATTTCAAATAAATATAAAATATAATTGATCGAACTTATTGAAAGTGCTATAATTGGCAATATAAATGATGGGACTACGAGGGTTAGGTTAACAAATAGATAATATGGGCTAGTACACAGTAAAAAGGGCTTAGAGACATTATTATCACTGGATTGTGTTTATTTACAGTAAACTTTTTTTAATCCGTATTAGCATAATAAAATTTTGTACGTACTACGTACAATTTTGTACGCAGTAGACAATTTCTCTGTTCTATATTTAGATAAGCGGAATTAATAGGGGTAAAGTACTGTTAAAATCTCGAGGTGGGGACCGTTAATGTTACACATCTAATCCCACACGTTAAAATAGAATTATTTATGTTGAACTCACTCTATAGACTATGTGATAGATATAATCCCTCGAACCTTTTTATAACGAACTCTGGATATAACAAAAAATTTAAATTTTAATATTAATTCGGTATAACAAGAGCTACAGCTCTTAAGAAAACATAGTAATTCTATATAACGAACTCTTTTTTTGGCCAGAATCTAGGAAAGAGTTGACTGTATGTGTAACATTAACGGTCCCTCCTGTACGTAGTTAAAATCCGATTAAGCGCAACGCTTTCAAATTTTGTGCACAATCGCCGTCTTACTTTTGGCAAATTTAGTATAAATTTTAGTATAAAACAGGAAACCCAAGGTTTCACGAAATTGGTTGCATTTTATTATGATAAATAATGATCATGATCATGATCATGCACTACGTAGTCGCTTCGTTTCTTTTCACCGAATAGTGGCCATGTTCACGTTCATGCTCGTGCGTAAAAAAAATTTAAACGACAAAAAGACTAATCTTACACACTATTTGCCATTTAAAACTTTTTTTACGAGTTTTTTCTCTGGGTTTTTAATCTACTTATTCAGTTTATTATTATTTTTTTTTATCGAATTCTTTACCGGATCGTCAACGATAATTTGATGATCGCTTCTAAATCTATCTTTGATCACCTGACTAATAATGCTATTACAGATCGTTAGGTGCAAAATAAGGGTTTCGAATTTTTTTGATAATTTTTCACTAATAAAAAATTGCTACTAAAGCATTTCTAGCTTTAAACGCTTATATTTACTGTGCAAAATATTCTCAAAATAATCTTAGTCCAGACGAACTTTGCTTAGAAGAAAGCCGTTTATTAGCCAATCTTAGATTATACTGAAATAAAGATAAGTGGGAACGTTTTTGCTCAAAACTGCCTTATTACATTAGATTAAAAAACTTTTAACTATTGAATTTGAGTAAGAATAGGTTTACTATAAAAGAAGTTCTGGGTTTAATACTTGAATATGTTTAGTTTTTTTATTGTGTTTAGGTTTATTAGCCATAATAAGTTTTGGTTTATAGATTATAAATTGTATTAATAAGTTTGGGTTTATTAATAATAAATGTCACAGATGATGCTGAAATTGGTAATTAACCAATGGGATTTTTAGATTTCATGATAATCTGAATTTCACAATCATCTGTGACAATAATTAATAAAAATAAATATATATTCTAATAAATAAAATTAAAATTTTACCTTAGTAATTTTATATAATTCTTCAAATTCTAACACAAAATTTTGTGATATATTAGATATTTCTAAAATGTTTTTAATACAGCTGATTAATGACATATGATATAAGAAATACTTAGTATTATCATGTTTAAATATTTGCTTTTCTTGTATAATATTTTTTGAAAATAGTGATTTCAAATGATTTAAATGTTTATTAAAAATGAAATAATCGTATTT